GAAACAGACTCTGGAGGGTAAAAGTAATATTGGGGAGTGAACAGAGAAACTTTATAACATACCAATGTAGATGACGCACTGTACATCCTAACCTCTCCATACCGTTAGTTTCCACTTGTTTTCTTTATGTGGTGAATAAAAAAATAAGAAAAAATAAAATATAATAGGGAAACTCAATCTTCACAACAATCTTGTCGTCTCTTCATAACATGTATAGCACATGGCGTACAGTTGTAAAAATTCATAAAATATCGTTCTAGAAGTCGTCAGGAGAACACTTTTGTATTATTTGCCTATGCTTTCGCAAACACGCAACGTCCAATCTGACTTATTATTCCTGAGAAATACTCTCACCCTGTTCTACGAAAGTAGAAAAAAAAAAAAGAAAAGGAATACAAAAAAAATATAAAATATTGCTAAGCCAGGTAAAAAGCATATAGTCAATGCGGCAACACTGCGATGTCTGTTCCCTACAATCTAGGACGGTAAATTTTAATTCATTTAACATTTATTTGATATTTAACAAAATTATAAGCAGTATCTTAATGTCTTACGTATTGTAATATAAAGTAAACTAAAATTCTATTAAAGTAGTATTAAACAGTTTCGAAGAATGTTTATCTTTAAATTGCCCTCGCATAAGGAATTCCATCTCTCCCTACTAGCAAATACTGATAACGCCCCTCCATTCGTCTGATAATGGAGTCTCATAGCGTTAATGTTTTTATCGGAAAATTTCAGGGGGATTTCGAGGCCGAAAAAGCAGCCTAAAAGCCTAAGAGGAAGCTGCCCATCTGCTTCAACGGAAATAACGGATGATTGATTAATGTCCTGAAAATATACCCTGACTATATCGTATATCATAAGTCATTTGATAATTTCAATTATTGCTACTTTAATATCACGTAAAATAGAATAATTTCGATTTTACACGTTGATATTCAGAATCCTATAATTACGTCGAGTCATCATTTCGCTTCAAACAAATTAGTATTTCCCTTATCAGATAGTAATTTCGGACTATGCACTACATCACTTCGCCTGATAAATTGCTAAAATCCTTTTCGTAATGAAAAAAGTGAATTCCCACGAGTCGAAGTCGTCGAAGAAATAGCAAAAAGCACTACCTTCGAATATAAGGATCGATACGACAGGCCATTTTCGTCAAGTCTACTTTTATTTCGTTGAAGACTCTCCGGTACCTTCAACAAAACTTCAGTGCAAATAGAGCGAAGACGCTTCACGTGACACCCGATAATTCCGAGATCAAAACAAGGAAAAAAAAAATCTCAAAATTCCCTAAACCACGGTATAAAATTATAATGAAGAATTGTCAATAAATCCAATGCGTATGACTATACATAAAAAAGATGCAGACACCTATGAATAAATAAACCTTCATAAAAAATTCATTAATCGTAAGACCTATTCAGTTTTCGACAGAAGGACCACATACCTAAGCAGGCAAATCCTCTAATGATTCGTCATTAAAATTTATGACATTTTCAGCGAGTCGAGGCCGCGTGGTTACTTCGTTCTATATCCCGCAGGGGTGGATCGATCCAGCCACCTCCACAACCAGCCACCCCTACGAGTCGCGTTCGTTTCCGTGTCCCACAGTCCCACGGTAGATCCGCGCCCTTCTTCTTATTCTCCACCACAATTTCCTTCTGTATTATTTATCTGTTCTCTTATTTCGTAACTTTCCCTCTCTCCCACATCATATAATACATATACCTAACTATGTATACTTTTGATAGGTCGAAGGACAGAAATTGACAAGGGATGTTCTCTTCTGGAATGAGTCACTCCTTTACAGAAAGTCAACGTCCCTTAATCGAAAAAAAGGTATGAGTGGACAGATTAGGTCCTAAAAAGCAGTATATACACTAGAGTAGTAGAGTATGATTTATTCGATCCTGAACCATAGCTCTCTAAGGACCGCAGACGAAAATTAGAGTTCAGCGAGTAGGCATGTATATTATATATAACGAAAGAAACACATGCAAATAGGCATATCAAGTGCAGTGAGTATAGTTACGGTTATAGATGAGTATAAAGTAAACTAAGGTAATAGCTGCATAAGAGTAATACGTCTATTGCACTACTATAATAAAATGTGACTGTAACAAAGTTAGCAAATTTATATTAGATCAGAGTTAAGATTACTCTGCAAATATAAGGGGTGGATAGTTTTTAGATTTCACAAGCATCTAGTCGCAACTCATCAAATATTAAAATTTACCATGTCCCTTTATGAATAATTAACATATAATTTCGTATAATCGCGTTCCCTTAATGGTATGTAAATACGTGATAAAATATATGAAGTAGATAAATATCACCTATCTAGAGGTCCATGCGGTACAATTAATTATCAGACCCAAGAACGACCCCTATAACTCAACCAATATTATTTAATTATCAATCAGGGAGCGTGGGGGGGTCGTTATACAAAAATAAAAAGGAACAAAAGGTCTAACACTCGTCTCCTCTCATTACTTTTTTTAATAGACATCTAAGTATCCCTAGCCAGAGGCTGCCCTAGATTAATGAAATTCTATGCATATCTCTACCTGCGAGAGTTTATAGTGAGAGGGTCCTTTAAACGGATTTGAGAAAACATGTCAAGAAAGCTTATCACGAATTTTCAAGATCGCGAATGGCCATTCAGTGAACCCATGCACGTAGGGCTGACGTAAATTTTTATGAAGGATGATAAAACGCTATAAATATTTTTCTTTGTATTTTTTCATTTTTTTTATTTCCTTTAATTTTTTTTCTCCAGCATCATCATTTCGGATTCCACTCGAGAGGAAATGAAGTCGCACGCGAAGTCTTTTTGAAAAGTTTGTACTCATATAAATTACTCGATGCTTTACTTCTGCAAAGTACTAAGACGTGAACTGACGTTTTATGTGAATATAAAACTAATTGATGAAATGGCTCGACTAGTACATAGGTATGTTTTCATGAAATGCGATGCGACTGTCTCGGGCACTCACGCCACTTCGCTCACGTCAGGATGACATCTGATAGCCTATTAAGGTCAACTTCAGTAAAAAAATCGATCCTATTCGGTTTGGACCTCCTATTACTTTTTTATATCATCTCTCTAGTTGTTATGACTATTCACTGTCCTCGAATCGAATAGTAGTTATCGCATATGTACTGTACGTGACCATGGGTGGTTACCCTGTTTACAAACTGTGTATTATAAAATTATGATATATGCGTTCTTGACACTATCCACCGTGTTTCCATTTCTTCATTCTAGTTTCGATAAGTCATATAAAAGTGTCCTTGAATATGATAAAATTATAAATTTAAAATATTTCAAGAGAATTTCGATATTGTAGCTGAATTCATGCACGTTGTAACCTAAAAAACAAGAAACGTCCTGAAAATGTCTCAAAAAAGACTTCTGGCTGGCACTCTATTTTAGAATCAATTACCAGATACCTAAGGTCCGTTGAAAAATCATAAAGCTGATTATAATATCTGTACGACTGAATTTTTTAAAATATATAATCGAAGAGATACAAAAGGCAATAAATGAGAAAGGAAATGTTTTTGATCCGCTATTAGAAACAATCCCGTTTAAGCTCTCGAGTCTTTGTACGTAAAATAATTTCTTGCCCGTGGACGCCACCTTCCGGTTTCTAATAACACTGTTTTACTCTAGCTCCTTCACCCTGCAACAAGCAGCCCGGCCAATTGCTCCGACCTATGTTGTTTCTCTGCCATATCGCCTTCTTCCAGTTTTCCCAATTTTTTTATATCCATTAGTCCCCTTTTTGCGCGATTAGCATAGCCAGATCGATCGAAGGATATTACACGTTCAGGAACACGTGTTTTCCTAAGAGCAATGTAAACCTCTTGTAAGATGATCAAGGAAAATTTATTCCTATATTTCGAACAAACAAAAAACAATCGATTCTTTTCCACCCTTATTATTTTTTTGGATCTTACGATACCTAACGAAAACAGTTGAGTCTCGTTCTGAAAAATTATCACTCAACATCCAAAAGTACTTATAGAAATGATTTTCTTATACAACGATGACAATTATTATTGAAAATAATACAAAGATTCGACCTGACACGAGCTGACCTACGAGTAGAAAATAATTTCGCAAAAGGTCAAAGGTCACGGATCGAGTCAAATATCCTTACATAATAAATATGTACTATTTTGATTATATTCTTGTTTCAATATTATATTCATATTCAGATATTCTATTGTAATTCCATTACCATTGGTACATTTCCACGAGTCAATTTTTATGGATGATATCTCAGGCAACGATCCAAGCGCTGACGCACGAAAAGATTCGTATCACCTGAATTATCGTAGAACTTCATTATATTTTTCACGTTTGACGTAAAATCGAGAAATCATATATAAAATACATAAGTCCAAGACAGAAAAAGTTACAGCTAAAAATAATCTTGGAGATACCCTCAAACAAATAATCTACGAAAGGGTTGAATGACGCCTTCAAAAAAAAATCCTTTGAAGATTTAATCCGGCTTACAAAATACACCTGCCTACGATACCTCAGTGGAAAAACATGTTTTTTCAATATATAAGAATACTAAGACTTTTTTTTTTATAATCGATAAAATAATATAAAAATTATTGCGATTAATTTGAAAAAATACTACATGCTTTCGCTAAATAAACAAATGCTTCCAGCTTAGTTTAATTTACGGTATAATAATTAATTTATAAGATTAATCCAATAACGATTATACCTCGTTTACGGTGTACACAATTAATGAGAATTATGTAAATCTTGAGTAAATCACGTTTTGTTAAACGAGGCTCAATATCTAGTACAGACGGAAGGTTAAAATCGATTGAGCTGCGAAGCAGCGCTAGATGGAAGCAGAACAGAAGCGTGCATTAGAAATATAATGAGCTGATAAGTCAAAGTTAACAAAAATAAAGAATCAGGTAAAGGAAATGACGATAACAGTACATCAGGTATAACTTACTCGCAGGTGCTCACGGGACATATTTTGAAAAGCATCTTCCACAGATTTTAAATAAAATGAAAAGCATCTCGCACCATTACCTCGACGACACTACCGCGAAATGGAGACGTAAATAAGGGATGAAAAGTTTTGGCACAGCCTCTCCCTTACATAGCGCTTATCAAAGAAATATAAAAGCAAAACATCTACGATTCGGGGGGTTGAACCGCCCCTGACGATGGCTCGTTCGTGACTGCTTAAAGCCAACTCAGCTGTGTGGCTGGCTGGGGCTGGGGCGTGCGCTCTCCAACCAAGTCAAACTTTACCTAGGGAGATCTTCATTATCGTGCCCTTATGTGTCAAAATCCCAGACAGAGAGAGAAAGACAGACGAATTAGTCTTTGACGTCGAATGAGAATTAGACAAAGACATTAGAGCCCTATAGAAATATAAATAGAGTCCATTACTTAGCAACTGCTAACAACGTGTAGAGATAAATAGTAAAAACCTGCCTTTAGCACTGGAACAATGAAAACCCACGAAAATGTCGGTTTAAGATTTCTTGGTTCGAATTACAAAAATTATGAAGGTCTTTTTTTCCGAACTTGTGTTGACTTCACGGATAAAAGAAAACCGTAAATATTGGTCGTATTCCGAATAATTTTTTACAGGAGGACGTTGCAACGCCTCCAAACATTACATTATAAATATTACTAGCTCTGATAAGTGTTCTATATGTTCTTAAACAAATTTTTTCATTTCACATAGTGACAGTGCACTTTATTGAATCTCGGGGAGCTTGCTGTTCGGCGATTCTTACCAAGTGGAATGCGAAAAGTAAAAGTGAATGTTTAGGTTTGTAAAATTAAGGAACGCCATTGGCAAAGGGTACAAATGATGTCAATATATTTGTGCTAATGCAATTTTAAATTATGCACGTCCATTGGAATTATTTCAATTAAATAAAATATATCTGAAGTGTATGCCGAATATGCATAGACATACTTATCACGAGTCACCCGTCAAAACGCTATTCGAGTGCAGGTAAAGTTTTGATGATTTTTTCATTGGATTTTGTTCCTCACAATATTATCCAAATAAAACATATCCGCTCATATTTGACATACGTTTTATATATATCTTATACAATGGAAATAAATTATAGATAGAAGATATAAATATAGATAGAAGATAACAAAAATTAATTGAATTTTTCGTGCGCATCGAAACGAAGGATAAACGATGAAATAATATCCAATGTTTGCAATTAAGATAAACAGTGTTTATTACGAAATTGAGAAATTATACTATATGTACAGTGTAAAAAAAATTATTATACGTAACTTAATAATATTTGTTTGTATTATTTTTTGCATTGTTACATCCACGGGCACGACTGTCCTTCGTTGTTTCTCGCGATTCCCTTTTGCACTACGGTATTGGTTTTTGGTTTTCCTTTCGGCAACAACCAAAGAACGACCGTATGTGGTCCATCTCCAATTACAATACCCATAATTAATTTATATCAAGCATTCGAAAGATATATAATTGATGAACGATGCTTTGATAGATAATCTACTTGTCGATTGTCAGGATCTTTGAGTTTTTCTAGCTTTTCGGATTTCACTAGTGTTCACTCCTACAGACTGAATAATTCAAATATCTCCAAGAGCAGCACTACGAGAACTGAGCTCAATTCTCATGTTTTCACGGGATCCGAAAAATCTACATGTAAATTTGAAAAAGCACCGTATCAACTGGCTCGATATTAGTGCGTGACAACGTGATATTTGCCTTCGAAGAAACTGATCGATCCGGCCTTACGAATTGGCACTGTAATATTCACCAGCAAAGTATTCGCGGACTGCACGTACAGACTTCAAACAATCGATATATCCTGTCTTGTTTTCCAGCGCGGCAACTGGCCGGATGGTATGATTGAACTCGCTTTCGTCAGAACCAGTGATATAAATCATATAAATAATATTTATCATATAAATAAAAGAAAGCACCCTTCGTTTGTCGAGTAGCCAAAATACATTTTTAAGAGGCACGCTTCCATTTCTTACACGATATTTTTTATACAAATACGCTTTGTTTCGTTGCATTATAATTAGTGCAGCGATATCTGAGCGAAACGTCTGTTATACCTAACTGCAGTGTAATTATAACAAGCAAATTGAAAAATAAATACAGAATATTTTTATATTCACAAATTGGGGCGCCACTATTGGAATAATGTCATTAGCATTAACTAACATTGATCCCGTTATATGAATTTATACGCTATCGCCAGCATTGTAAATTTTCCGTATCTATTGTATTAAAAAAATAACCGATGACAATATTAAATTTTGAAAAGTACGAAAGTCACATATCAGTCGCAGTTTTATCTTGCGCATAATAAACCGCAGTGTTCGTTGCTAATGATTCAGTGTACACTTTTCTTTCGAGTTTCGCGAATGAAATTTGCAAATTGAAAGGTGACATTGTAACATTAACAAGCGTGATAAAAACATCTTTTTCTGTCGAGATAAAAGAATTAACGTGTATCTATACCAATTTATTTTCCATCGACCACTCTAATTGCGAAGTTCTCTTTCTAAGATACCTACATAGGCTAGGATTTAATACATAGAAAAGAACCTTGGTTGTTTCAGTATTACAAAAGTATTAAAGAAAGAGTAAAATCGAATCAAAAAGTTGCAATCTTAATTTCAACGAAGTAATAATAAAGTACAGTAATAATATCGATTAAAATTAATTAGATTAATCATAATCATTATTCTGCAAAATATTGTTTTATTCGACGTTTCTTCTATTTTGATCGTCGAGAATATTGGAAAATTTTTACGATAACTTCATCCTACGTAAAAGTAAATGCGGGATCTTATATATAATTTTGATAGCTTTTCGTGATAAGAAAGTCGACAGAGAGCTTGAACTTTTTTTTTTATTTTAATATTGGACTCGTTAAGTCGTCAGGATTTGATACCAACACCTACAGGGTGTTCGTTATGAAACGCACTGTAGTAATACCGTTGCATTCCTTATCAAATTCTAAAAATAAGCTTTCGTGTCGTTAAGCTCGAAGAATGGTTCGAGTCGGGGCAAAGCTTTGTTCGATGCCAAAGAGGCAGGAGAATAAATTACACGTGCATATACGTATACAGAGTGTTCGTTATGAAACGCACTGTAGTAACATCGTTGCATTCCTTGTCAAATTCTATAAAATACGTGTATTTTAATTTTTTATTTCATATACCAAAATTTTGAGATAATGAAGGTTGAAGTTGCAGTAATGCGGCCAATCAGAACGCGTTTAAACGAAGCGTAGATGACGTCGCGAGCCAGCCCGCAAGACCTGCTTGCCCTAGGCCAATAACACTAAGAGTATCGTCGTAGTGTCCCTGTTTATCTGCATGTAATTGAGTAAGATACAAGAGACGATACTCTTAGTGTTATCGGCCTTGTGTAAGCAGGCCTTGCGGGCTGACTTGCGACGTCATCTACGCTCCGTTTAAACGCGTTCTGATTGGTCGCATTACTGCAACTTCAACCTTCATTATCTCAAAATTTTGGTATATGAAATAAAAAATTAAAATACACGTATTTTATAGAATTTGACAAGGAATGCAACGATGTTACTACAGTGCGTTTCATAACGAACACTCTGTATACGTATATGCACGTGTAATTTATTCTCCTGCCTCTTTGGCATCGAACAAAGCTTTGCCCCGACTCGAACCATTCTTCGAGCTTAACGACACGAAAGCTTATTAACTCCATTGCATCGGAAATAGCATGTTGCTCCAGTTGAACTGTTTGACTTTCCCCGAGAAATCTACTCTCATCTTCTTACTGCTGCTCTATAATTGTCCGTACTCTAGCGTCGAGATGCACGAAGCTTCGTGAGCTTTCGTCTTGAAGCTTCTCGAGTCGACTCCTCACACTGCTTTGTATATTTATGTACACAGCTTCTGCGATCCTCCATGCTGCAGGCTTCGATCAACGATCGAATAGATCTCAGTCAGTCGCCAGAAAGGCGCATAGAGTCGCAGTTGCCACTGGTTGGTTAAATAGAGAAATTTTATTTTTGAGATTAGTAACACCGGCAAAAAATTTTGTTCAATCAATTTTCCTATAGTGAATAAAACAAATGGAATAATGTGTGCTGGTGGTGATTCGAACTTTTTTTTTTTTAAGTGTCAAATTTACAATATATTTTATAAGATCAGAATATATTTTCGTTATTAAAAATATATTTGTCTAGTATATTAATATTTTTGCTATTCTTGGTTCGAGCTATGTTTAATTATATTTTCAGTGGCCTTAATTACGTTTAAAAGGTTCAAGTTTCCCGTGCTTCGTATAAATACCATTGAATATAACTTTTTATTTTACTTTCATAGAAAAATCTTCGAGAAACTTTATTGCATGGATATAAAGTTTTGCTTAGTACGATTATATTCAGGGAACAGAAAGTACGATAAATTTATCTTAGTATATGGGCAATATTTTCTCAGGTCGGTTAATAAGTTACTAACGCAATGGCGGTAGACATTAAATTGTCAAAGTTCGATAACACCCCATGGGGATTTCGTTTATCTGGCGGGCTGGATTTCACGCATCCTCTTACCGTTGTCAGGGTGAGTGACAGTTTTTTGGGAGAAATGATTCTAATCAGGCACAAATATTTGCCTTTCATGTTCTTCTAATGCTCTAATATATATATATCTAAAGCTAAGTTCCAGGAAATTGGTGGAAGGATTGAAATTTTTGTATATTCAACGCCCTGTTTCAAGACTGTAAAAAGCTACACGAAACCCACGTCTACACGCTGAGAAGCGATTACTAGAGCAATGGATAGTATTCGGTCTTTAGAAATTGTATTGTATCCAGATACTGACCATTATTCTACTAATCGCAATTATACATTCTGTTCCGTGTAGGCACCCGAAATTACAATGGGCTTAATTAATTTTCCGTTTGGTTAAATTATAACAGCTTAGAACTCCAAACTTTGTAACAAAGGTTGAATTTCTTTTTAACGTATTATCTGACCATTGTGAGTGCCGCTTTATGGTGAGATACCCAAAAACGTATTGTTATTCTATACGTATAATGTATAGACGTTCCCTCCCAATCAACCCTTTTACTCTGCCTTAATCCTCATTCCGAGTTACTCAAATACTATCCCCATCAAGGCAAGAAGTCCCATAGACTCCGGAACGGTCATAGCTATTCATTTCACTTCGATATTCTTATCACGAAATTCTCCTATCGGTATAGACCGAGTTCCGTTGATGCTTAATGAAGAATTAATTTAGACCCTGCTAAATCAAATACAAAATTCTAATATATCTACATAGATATGATACAATGAATATTTATTCGAATCTCTATAGATTATAAATTTTTATATCGACCCAAGGTCACGTGCCCATTCTCATCAGCAGTAGCCGAGCCACAAAATGCAAGAGAGAGACAAACAAATTTTTCAAGAAACACGCAACCAGCCCATTTCGTGAAAATATCGTGATAGCAGTACACTTTTATTTTTTCCTCTATTCTTTTTTCAACCTCTATTTTCCGTCCTCAGCACACTGTTGCCACACACCATCCGGAAGTAAATTTCCCGATAATACACGAAGCGTCCATGCTAGTCTCGTCCTCGTTTCCGTCAATACGAATCTTGCGGTTCACCCAGGCAGATATTGGATTTGAGATTTATTCGAATGGAAGTAAACTAGCTTTTTCATATCGAACAAGACATATAATTAAACTGAATTGTATTAAAATTTTATCTATCAATAACTATGGGTCAATCATCCTTAGTCAGTACCTAGTGACGAATTAATCGAAAAATTTTTTGAAAATTATTGAAAAATTATCGATTATATATTTTCGTTTTATCCACCAGGTGGCACGAGGAAGTTTGGCCGATGAAGCCGGTCTTCAACCAGGTGATGTTCTCATACGATTGAACGGACTTCCACTTCACGAGATGACGCATGCTCAGGCTCATGATAAACTGGTTAATGCTGGTAACAATTTCGTACTATCTGTCGTACGAAATCATCTGAATCATCATACAAATCATCCGATGGCTCATCGACAGTGATCAGTTGTCATAATCTTTGATATATTTAAAATTCTTCATACAAGTGTACAAGGTTGTTCAGGACTATTGTACGTTCTCAAAGTGTTTGCTGTACCATACAAATCAAATGGACGGGCCAACCCCAGTCGGCACAGTACTCCTGAATAACCCTATACAGTGTTATTCAACCCAAAAGTATCACTCGAAGGTAGCGCGCCTGTTTGATTGTTATGATAAAACCATATTCAGGCGGTCCGTTTTGACTGAATAACCCTTTACATACGCTTTGGATCGTTCCAATGAAAAATGCGAACGCATTCTGCTTCCGTGACTGTTTCTATATCTACATATGTACCGATATATCTATATACAAATATATGTAGATATACATTTGCAAGCTACATGAATTCGCCTGAAGTAACTATCTGGTATCGTGCCAGCCACCTGTTTCCTGACCATTGGTTTTCCCCTTTCCAATCTTTTATCTCCAAGCTAATATAATAATCTCTAAGTCTATTACTATCCTTGATATCATTCGCGATGCATAATTTGTACCAACCTTAACGTTAATACATCAATGTTTAATATAAAAGCCAAATTGAATGTTACCATGGCTAATATTTTTCAAAAAATGTATCTATTTTGTAATTTCCAAAAATTCTATAGATAGCCACGCTATCTGATTTGATAATTAAAATTGCGTATAAATATTCAGACTTTCAAACTACAGATAACATTTAAGAGGTACGGAGTATATTTAAATCCACATTACAATCCAGACACGCTCTTAAATCTATTATAGTATTTTCAATCAATCAATCCTTAGACTGCCGATTTAATATTTTTTATCACCTCCTATCCGAGAAACCAAATCATAAAACCGAACAACATCAATCTTCCAGATGATCGTGATTAATCCCAATGTATCTGGGCCAATTCGATGCGACTTAGCATGTAAGGTATAATACTGCATATAGAACATGGCATGTATTATATAATAAGTGGAACCAATCTTTATAATTGTGTGCGTATATATCATATAAAAAGTACATCATATATATATATATATCATGTACCGTATTAATAATAGTATAGTCCGTACCAGTAAATCAATGCCAATTGGCAGCCCGTAAAATCGACTAGCAAATTACTTCACGGCCGAATGCCATAACGTAACATGCAAGTTGCTACATAAATATTATGTCGTTGTCCCGATAATTCGATCGACCTACATACCTCTACGTACTTATATATAGTATACAGAATTTTGTCATGATTAACGGAAGGGTAAGGTGTTGTTGATAGATACCCTAGTGCCATAAGAACAAAGACAACAATATAGGGATAAAACCTTTACCACTATTCAGTTTTATAATATTTCCAAAATATTTCCTTGTACTAATTTTTTAATTATTTCCCTCAATCTCTCACAATGACGTAGTTGTGAAATTCAAAATGAAAATATACTCTTCTAATGTTTCCTTATAAAATACCTAGATCTCTCACAGTGGAGGAGGATGGAAAATCAGGATAAATCAGACCTTCTCCTATAAATTTCTTTAAATCATCTCATAGCGACGTTTGAAAAATAAGGAGAGCATTCAAAATACGCGCCGGCCGCCATCTTGGAACGCCAGCGCGCCAACCGAACAGTGACGTGCGCAGGCAGTTACGATCAAACACAAACTCAATCGAAACATCCTACTGGACATCGTCCGGATAGACTTGTATGATTGAACACAACGTTCGTTCAGGTTGCGTGTCTCACGAGTGCTCGCTTGACAATGATATTTCCTAAATTAAATAAAGGCGTGAAAGTGCGACAACAATCTTCAATGTTGATTACATGTAATGCTTCGTTCATCGTGCTAAACAGGAGATAAATACTATTCATTCTCTAGTGAAATATACGATAGGTAATGGTTTAAGTTTACTTCATAGCATGATAAAAAAATTTTTATTTATGATTTTTTAATAAACGATAAACGAAAAATAATTTATTCTTAATAAATGATCATGATGCAAATATGAAGAAAATTGGTAGTGTCAAGCTTTTCCAAATAAAACTTATCATGAGATCTGAGCCTTACGTGTTAAACAATGCCGGATGCGGAATTACAATTATTCAAATATGTTTGAATAATTATACACTCACACTTCTAACTTTCCGCGGTATGTTTGAATAATTCTAATTAAACGCCAGACACTGGCGATTGTTCAATCGTGATTTTAGTGTAGTTCAAGTAGTAGTTCAAGTGTGATTTTATTGTGACTTTAGCATCGCCATCCAAGATCATAAGAATTGCATTACCTTACTTTTCCCCCAAAATCAAACAATTTTTCTCTTAAACATTTTTTTCGACAATACATTGGTTTAGAGATATTTAACAAAAACGTTTTCAAACGAACACACGGTATATACAGAAGTATTGTAAAACGAAAAGAGTGTTTTTAAAACTTCATTTCGACAAAAACGCTTTTTACTTTCGAGATAAATAATTAAAATAATCTATTTTTTCCTATTAAGTTTTTATTCATTTTATTTATGGTATATCAATATTCAGTATCATTTCGTAAACTGGAATGAATCATAACACGGTGAATGATATGCAACACTGATTTTGAGTCCATTAATTTTGAAAGAGATTAGATCGTTTTTCAGAATTTACGATGTACCATATGCAAATAGTTTACACGCGGACGGTTGTTTGTATCGTGAGAAAGTTTCGTGACACTGTTCCTAACAAAGTCCCTTTGCACAGTTAACTTGTACATACAGTTGGAATTCTACATCCCTCTGTCTACAGTGTTAAGTTTCTTGTACATTGGTATCTGTGAAGGATGCTTATGTACGATTCTATGCAGAATTCTGTTAAATGTTTATACTATTATATTCATACATATACCGCCATTTTTTTTTGGATTTTGTATATACTTGTTGACATTCTTAATAATATTATTCAAAATATCCTTACGACTTATGTCGCAATTTATAAAATTGTCTTTTTTATTCCATCCCAGTATACCTGTGACCTCGCTGGGATATCCGCGACATTCGAAAAAGCTACACTTTATGGAGTCGCCATATCTGTAAGACGAAAAAAAAAAAAACGTAAGACTCGATTAGAATAAGCCCTTCGCAGAGGAATTTCAATTTATAACAATCCTGCAACGTCGGTGGGTTGTTTGAAAATTTATTTACATTGCGAAATTACAAAAAATTTACTATAAAAATAAAAGATGTGTAACGCCAAACCGGCAAATATAACGCACTGCAACTGCAATTAATATCAATTCTGCGATGTCTGTGAGATGTTTAAAATTCGATCGTACTGCGAATTACAAATCCCGTCGTTGAACTTATATCCGCTAGGTGGCAAAGCATAAAACAATCACCCTTCATTTTGAGTGTATCTCAAATGTATACAAGGTATCCCAGAATATAAAGATATGGAGTACACCATCAAGTAGACGACTAAAATCTGGAACAAAAAGTCGTAATCCATTTTTTACCGAGTTTTTCTCTTAAAGTTATAAGCAATTAAGGCTAGCCAATCAACGCACGGCTGCACCCGCTGAACATTCCCTTAGGGCTCATTCAGACAGAAAGCAGCGGATTTTTGGCCGCAAAACTACATTTTCTGCATTTTTATATTACGTAATCGTATGAAAGCATTAAGAAATAAGTTATTTACCTTAATTACGTATGTAGAGTCAAGTATACTACATTGAAAATAATAATACATAATTTTTCTTAAAACATGACTTCATCACTAAATAGATTCCAATGCTTGGACTGCGATTTTGGAAAGTTTATCAACATTCAACTTTCCGTAGTAACGACATACCAAAAAGATGATGGCAACCCTACTTCACGTCATAGTTCATGTTGGAAATAAATTTTGAAATCGCCATCAGACGAAATGTGTATAGCCCGTGGTATAGCCTCGTTGTATGTTACATGCATGTCTCCTTTGTTACAATTTAACATCACGACCAATCACAATATGCCTATGCGTACGTACGTTGAAGAGAGTCACCACTCTATTCTAAAGTTTCAAGCTGCTTGCTGCTCGCTTCTCGCTTCCCGCTGCTTTCGGTCTGAATGAGCCCTTACTCCCCACTTTCCGCGTTCTGGAATATTCAGTGGATACGCATGCGCGTTGATTGCCTAGCTTCAATTGTTTATAACTCTAAGAGAAGAATTTGGTACAAAAAATAGTTCAGGACTTTTCGTTTAAGATTTTCCTCTTCTACCTGATGGTCTACTCCATAACTTTTTATTCTGGGGCACCCTGTATATGAGTAATACTTTTAAACAACACGCTTCATTAAAAACGTATTGGCTTAACGTACCAGCTACATCAAGCTTTTTCGAATATCTTGAGTCCAATTACTCAAAGCCTAAAGTCACAGGCAGTAACATGAAACAAACTGATGATGTTTAGGATCTATAAACAGTATGACAAATGCAATGCTTACTTTTTCTGAATATTGCACTGCAACTTGGCGGTTCTTCTGCGATTGACCTGTATTCGTGGGGATACTTTCCTATATGAGAAACAAAATGGATATTTTAGATGAGTGACAAGGAGATCGTACATGACGGAGGTTAATAACGAACTCTGAGAGAATATCACATAATTTAGTCTCGCTTTAATATATTAGATATTGTTCATATAATAATATAACTCTCGGTGCTATAGTTAATTTTAACAATAAATCAGCGTACGTTATCTCGATTAATAATTTACAAGAAAAAAAGAAAGGAGTTCGGGAGCTGTACAGAGAACAAAAAAGACTGACGCTATTACTCTGTCATTGTTATAATTACCACCTGATCGGGCATGGCTATCAGTTTGAATGGTTATTTATAATAGCAATAATATGTGTATATGTGTTTATATATACATATGTAAAAAAAAAACAGAATCAAGACGTTTTAACAGTAAAGGAACATAGAAGACACGAACTATATAATAAGTAACGAGCACACGACACTTTGTGTACGCGCATGCGCACTGCGAAACTTATCGCATTTAATTATCCCACATTCCCAATTTACCCGATGAAATTCGGGCAATCATTTGCTCCTTGATCGCTCCATTATTTATTTATTTATCTGTTTAATGACGAACCGATGGAAACGTCATATTCACCATCTACGACGAGTTAACAAAAAAAAATAAAAAATAAATAAAATAGAAAGAGTAAAGTCACTTTGTGCGATATGTCCCTCTCCCTTTAATTATCTCCCATTTTATCAAACTTCGATCCTCAACCCTTGACAAACCTAAATACATTTATAACCCTAATGTTCTGGGTTGCGATAAATACACATATGTACCTCTATATATAACGTGCGAATGGGATGTGTGTATGACTGTTTGAGGGGAAAGAAATGAAGGAAAAAAGAAAATTTGTTTGAATAATATTAAAAATCATTTCTACAAAACACTGAATGAGGGGATGTAGAAAGGGAGTTGTTGGACGAAAAAATAGGGACGGAACAAGATAGAAAATAAACATTTGCGGATTAGGGGTAAAAAGAATATGAAGGTGCAATTCGCTATGGCGCATGCACGTGTCTGTCCTTAATCGCCTAACGAATTAGCACGCGTTATACATATATATATATATATTGACAGTGGGTACTAGATTTGTGTCACTCTGTGTGTCGTGTGTGTCAGTGAACCCGGGAGAAAAAACATGGCCGTCGACATTTCGACGCTACAATCCGATATAAATATACACTTTGGTATACGAATACATTACCTAATTACATATATCGTATAGTTAAAAATAAACATCTTTGCGCGTACGTCTTAGCTGTGCCCGTAAAACACCTGTTTAATTGTATATCGATAGAGAACGATCCCTCTTACGGCATGATTAATATTCAGCATCGTCCCACACTCTGATTATTGGTTCCTTTAATCGTCGTCATTAGAAAATTCTTTTTTTTTCCTTTTTAATAAATTTCTTGCTTCCATTATTCTTCATTATTCTCATCGTCTTTATCATTGACGTATCAAGTTTATAAGATTTTTAAATTCGTACAGTTATCGCGTCCAACGGTTTGCTGCAGGGGCATACAATACAATCAGGTACAAAAGTAGCATTTCGGAGTGGGGATGCTTTTGTTTAGTTTTGTATAGTTTTGTTTTTCTCTTAATATGGAAATACGTGAAACATTAATATTCTTTGACGTTATCCCAAAAGTATAACGTCACGTTATTACTTGATAATAAATATCCTGGTACCAGAAGTTCTTCGGTTCTTAGGTTATGAATTACACAGTGTTCGTGTAATTTAAAGTCCTAATGATTTTTGACATTCGACGTGATTTAAAATGAAAGTCAATTTTTCGAAAAGTTTGAAACATGCGAATTTTCATTCTTATCTTCCGTCTCTCTTAATACGTAGGGTTGCAAGAAAACCGTTGGAGATCGCCCATATTCCCTTAAGACTAATGATGCACGTCGTTACTTTTAATTACGCTATCGTTAAAACCTTATCGATAAAAAGTCATTTAATAAATATAAATCGGTGCCCGATCGTAGAATTGCAATAATAATTACATACTAAACAGAGCACCGTGTCAGAGAGAGCTTCTATTCTTAATCATCATCATCTTCGTAAAATTCTTCTTTTTTTTATAATATATATATATATATAATTTTTTAATCTTTTTTCCCATGTATCTCTAATTTTGCATCTCATCTTCATCATGATATCACGAACGCATGCTACATACGCCACGTGTCTTCCAAATAATTTCTCGCATTACCAAACAATCACAGTGATGGCCAACACTACTTGACTGATGAGAGTGAGGGCTTTAATAGCAGTTCTTATAATTTCTTAAAATCCTCTCTTCTAAAAATCTCCCAGTAAAATCGTAAGAGATCTTACCACATTATTTTTAGTGCTATTTTAAGAATTTGGTTGAAATCACGCAACACGTCCGTATCTGCTTGACCATACTTCTATACGTGGTCAATAGGCAATGGCGGATAGTACAGTCCAGTCCGGACACAAGTGCACACTTGGAAACTTATTAAATAAGATACTTAAGTCTGGTGATGATTGGCTAAACCGTTAAATTATAAGGTATCATAGCCCTTTTTGAATACTATCTATCACAGTGCATCGCAATGGACGCACTGACTTTCGAGTCTTTGTGTCGTCAATTTATTCCCATGGACATCGTGACGCCTCGTCCTCTCTTTCACTATGTGTTTCAAACCCTATACGCAACGAGAGACTCCGCAAACTGATCCACCAAGCCGTCTCCCATAAAGAAAATACAATGTGCAGGTTAAAGAGTCACCAGGATTTTGGTCTAAAATATAAAGACGTAAAGTCATTAAGAAATTGACCATAGTATGACTCTCATAAATCGTACGCGTCCTCTTTATAGGATTTTCGGTAACTACTATTGGTCCGCCTGTTCACTGGCTTCCTCGTTATCCGATCCCGCTTCTGACGACCTGTCGTGATTCGTGCAGTTCTCTGTAGTACCTTCTTGTGCTTCTGCGATCGCCAGCCAGTGTTCCTTGTTCATTATTACACCCTGTACCAGAGGCTCGAGCTTGTCGGAGAGAATGGCAAAAGCCTGAATTGCAAGACACAAATCGAGTGTTATGATTTTTTCATAGATGTAGAAATACATTAAACATTACAATCTTTTGACTCACCTCGTATATGGGAAGGCAAATGGAATCAATGAAACCGACCTGCATCATTGGTAACTGATCCTCCTTCTCTCTGTTCATTATATCCTGAAGGATTAAACAATTTTTGTAGTTCTTGCAGACAAGCTAGTAATGGATACGAAGGTTCAGATAAGGTACTAACGATTGGCGTTATATTGAGAGTCCGCCTTTCGATGTCGCCCTGCTCAAAGAATTCACTGCTAACCAGCTCGGCGACACGTTTCTCCACCTCCCAGGGCTTTGTGATAGCCGCCAGGTCGCAAACTGTCATTAGCATACCACGAAGAAGATCACGATGATCGCTGTACGCCCAATTGTAACTTCCTGCACGTGCTAAGGACAGAAAGGCACCGCGCTTCCGGAAGTAAACGGCTAGGTCGGTAGAGAGGATAGCTTCCTCCAGGACTTTAACCACCCGGGAGTATTCCTCTGGCGAGAGATTCGAAAGGATCTGATTACCCTGGCTACTTAGAATCATTAAGCACTGATCAAAGTGATGATGTTCCATTGTAGAAGTGGAATAAAGTTGTGCCAAAGGTGACGAGGCTCTGTAAAAATTGCAAAAGGAAGTTAGAAATGACCGATGAAACTTACGTTAAGTGCTAAGTCAAAAAATAGATAATGACTCACTTTATTTGAAAGGAATTATTTGTACCACGATGATCCAAATCGTGACAGAGACAGGCGATCATCAGTGCCAGACATTCTATCTCGCCGAAGATCTTCCACCATTGAGTGGCCTTGAAAGACATTAATAATAAAACTAAATTGAATTTGCCAGATTACCAAATGATTAAAAGACTTGAAATACTCACGGTCAAAATGGCGAACATCATCTGACCTACATTAAATGCGTGTCGCCAATTGTGGTAGGTGACGTTACGGTAATTCTTCTTGACGCTGAGTAACCATCGACACAGGACATCGTAGTCGATATGGAAACGCTCGACAAAGTCAAGATCCAGGAACATACGTAAACAGGCGGTAAGGGTTTCGTCATCCTCCATATGGATGTCGTCAAACTTGAAGTCATGTAGCTGAAAGTGGGCACTGGACGGCACCCTTAAGCCCTGCTAGGACGTACACAACGGAAGCGACGATTACCATTAAAATTCAACGAACTGTATTGTTATTTATAATCACACCAAAAATATAGGCACTTTTATTACGCGATAAAAAAATCGAAAAATTTACCCTCAATCTTTGAGCATCCTCGAGAGAGGCGGACGCGTGGTAACTTAGTACTTCCAAAGTAACGCTTTGCTTAGCCATAGCAATCACAGCCTTCTCGTACCTGTAATGTGACCGTTGTAAGAATAAAAAGGATTAGAAAGACCATCATTGGACTACTCTCAATAACTCACATATGCGTATTATGAATGCCCATGCCGCAGAATATAGCAAAGGCCTCCACGAAATTTTCGTCGTTCTTCGTGAACGCGAGGTCGTTGAACTTATTGACCAGTTGAATGACCCCGATGATCTGACCTGAAGAATTCTTAATGGGCATACAGAGGATCGTCCTGTGACGGAAACCTGTCCCATCATCGACGGATGCATCGAATCTCGGATCGTCGTAGGCATTGGGGATATTGACCGTCTATGAGAATAATGAATAAATTTAATAATTCTTATTAACATTTCTAATTAAATCAACTCTTGATTTTTTAATCGTGAACAATTCACCCATATACTTACCTCACCCGTTGTAGCCACATAACCGGTGATTCCAACATTAATAGGAAATCTGCTCTCGAACGGACTGAAATACAAAGCCAATCCATTGTGTTAATTATCAGTGTCGTAATTAATTAAATCGTTCAAGACCGAACATTAATAAAAATACAGTTGGCAATTACAAACTTTATTCACCTAGTGCGGGAATCCGTGTCTTCGGCGAGGTCATTCGCCTCGAAATCAAAGACGCGCGAAAAACTTCCCTTGGATGCTTTGTGAACCAGCAATACCTTTAATCAAGTAAATCATCAGTATTACTGCAGTACAGTATCAGTAGTACGAAAAAAGCTCTAAGCAACATATATGTATATATGGCAATACATATAGTTTCAATAGCAGAGTAGCAACAGAGTACAACTCCAAATAAATATTTGATCCAATTACCTGAACACGTTGACACTGAATGAGAGACTGAGTATGAGTAAGGATTCTGAGTACCATGTGCTCAATAGTACTTTGCTCCTCGAAGATCATCCTGGCCAGATCCAATAAAACCTACAATCAAAAGAAAAGAAGTAAATTAAATAAATAAAGTCTAACTATATTAACGTATAAAAGAGAGCCACAAAAAAATCTAAAATCCTCTTAGGTAGCTGATCAAATTGATACTCCTCCACAGCAGACATACATTTTATAAGATTTAATAGTCATTGTGTTTCTATAGTTATAATTAATGAAGATTTACCTGATTTCTCTTCACTTCCAATTGACTCTTCTCATACAGTTGAGCATTTCTCAGTCCTATACCGCAGAACTGGAGGTACCCAGCGAAGATCTTCTCGTCTTGAGCCGTGAATTGAGCTTCACCCCCTAATTTATTGATGACCTGAGCAACCCCAACGACGTCACCACTGCAATCCTTTATGGGCATGCAAAGAAGAGCTCTGGTTCTATATCCGGTCAGAGCGTCGATTTGCCTATTGAATCTGGCATCCTGAAATAATAAATAAGCATAGCTATTTGAATATTTTGAAAATTATCGATAAATTATTTATGGCTAGATGGAATACATTACAAAGTGAATGAGACAAATAAATAGAAATAAATCTCGATTTTAGAGTAAAAGCTTGCCGAATTTAAACTCGTTCTTAAACCCTGTGTTAAATCCAGACGGATGTAGTCAGCTGATAGAGAAGAGAATTGAAAATGGTCCTAAGAGTTCCGATTGTTCCGCAAGATCCCTGATAAATAATTTGTCTTCGGAAGATTGAATGAAAACTTAAACTACACTTGGAAGTTCCTCGCTGTATAATCCTTTGACGGATATTGAGAAACGTAAAAGCTCTGAATGTCACGCATAATAAGAGATGATTCTTGGGTTTGAGGGTTGACGCTTTGTCTGAGAAATAGCCGAGAAAACAGATAGAAGCGGTTTGTTGGGACTGTACATTTAATTACGCGACGACTATTCAGAGAGGCTTCCGAAGGAGTGTAAAATTTTAGTGACTAAAGCTTAAGAATTCGGAGACCCTACCTACGGGGACGAACACGTTCTCAATTACTTGAACATTACCCTCAGGACGATAGATGTTTGAAGTTCTAATTTCGGAATGTCTACCATCGACGTTTTTTTTTTTTTTTTAAATTCATAGAGTGCTTTGCAAAGAGTATATTATTCACTCGGAAGTTTCAGAGTGAATAAAAAATCTTTCTACAAAGAGGGTTATAAAATATAATACATTACAACGACAAATAAAAACTGGAATAAGAAATCTTTAAAACATTTTCACGAGACACTAAAATATAGAACAGTCTGGATAACCGCATCCGGTTTAAAAGATCGAATATAACCCAGATTTTTGATAACAATTACAATCAATTATTTTCAATGGTCGACTTCCAATTACGTTCAATGATAGATAATGAAAAATATGTCAGACGGCAGAGAATTCCATGATGTCTGCATGCAGAGCAGTCCAAATCAAAAGTAACGATCAAATCATAAAATGTTTATAAATAGGACAATACCGTTTATCTTAGTCATGTTATAACTTAGTAAATTTCCAAGCGCTTCGAGAGACATTAGAGATCACTTTCTACGTTACACAAAGCGCAAATTCAATAGGATTTCACATGAGTGCAATATGACTAACACACAGACCACAGAAAATCATGCCTTCTGTCCTTCTTCTGCAAGTTTAATCGATACCATTAAAAGGTCCTCGTACTCTCTCCCTGACTTCCTGGAGAGAGTAGAGAATCCCCAGTGATAGGAGTGTCAGTCATAACCCAGCAAAGGTCATCCTGACATTAGATTCATTGAAAGATGCAGATGGTTATCAGAGAATGCGAACAACAAGAATGCGTAGCATTCTATGATTCATATATTTAGAATGACATGAACATAGTATATAAAGTACAATGACACTGAAAGTGTCAATGACAATGAATCTACTTGGTTAACAATTAAGGTCGAGGTTACTACTAGTGTCATAGTAAGGCTATCTTGCCTTGTACGCATCCGGTATGTTGACGGGTTCCCCACTCTCAGCAACATAGCCGACTATCCCAGTGCCCCATGGAATTTTGATCTCCTCCTTCTTCTCCATCTCGAGTAAGGTCGACCTCGAGCAGACGTCAAAGAGCTTTGACACGAGACACCTGCTCCTCGAGTTGGAGTAATTATTCTGATATCTTATACTCGACGTGGGACTGCTACTTCCATTTCCGGAACTGTCTTCCACGTGGTTGTGCGAAGATGGCATACAGCCGCCACCGCGTTCACCCTGGACCAGGAACAAGGAACCTCTGTCCGCGTGAAGGAGGGTGCTGACGTTCTGCAGAATCTTATGGCAGAGGGACCTGACGTCCAGCTCGTTGCAGATATCCTTTACCTGAATAAGATTTTTTATTTATAAATTTTTTTTTTCCCCTCAGCCACATAATTAACAACGATGGCCAGCAGTTCTTTCATCCGATTAAAAAGAATTACCAATTCAAATATCAGATCCTTCTCGTCCAGATGCCTGAGCTCGTGTCTGGATCTTCTCTGAGGACGTCCAGCATTACCTGCACCTACTTGTTGTCCTCCAGGTTGTCCCGAATCGCCAGGACATACGCTGAGGAAGGTCGGCGTACCGTCGATGGTGTTTACGATTGGTTTAAGGAGACCACCACGTTCGAATTCATGTGCTGATATCTTTCGAACTGGAGTTGTGGCACCTGAACCACCGGAACCTCCTCTGCCCGAGGACGACGTACCTCCCGCATGGGTTGGACTTGCCAGTTCCAAGCAGCTTCCGGTGGATGAGGTTGGTGTCGCGTGAGATACCAACCACATGTCCACAGTTTGTCTCGTGACTTTCCTAATAAGAAAATATAATACCGTTGTATTACTCGAATCCATAATAATTTGTCAGTTTCTAATAGGCTTTTAATTACTACGAATAATTCTCAACGTCAAATGGATTATTATCGCTTGAAATTCCCATTGCTATTCAAAGTATCCTTGGCAATTCAGATACGTCCACCAAGCTCCATAACGAGAACAACCTTTTGAATTATTACCATTAATTATTGCTATTAGCTGAATGGGGATGTTAGCTGACAGATCTTAATATAAATGAGCTCTTCAGCTATTCGATTACCAAGACCAATTAAATATAATCAAGGAAATGAGTCTATCGAATAATACTGTTGCCAATACTGAAAACGCTCTCCTAACCCAACGACAATACATTTAATCAGCAGCAACGCGTGGCATTTAATTTACCTGAGAAAGTAATCGTTAACAAAGTCAGGATGCTCGTCCAGCCAGGCCTCCATCCTTGCATACTCCGGATCGTAAACCGCCGAAGTAGATGAATAATAACCACCAGATTTGGCATCCTGTGACTGCTGTAACGTCATCTGACCAGCCATCACACCCTGGACGCTCTGCACTCCTTGCACACCCTGCACACACGGAGCTGCCGTCTCCGCCGTCATCCTCGGCTCCTCGATGCTCCGCAAATGCAGGCCTGTAAAAATTAAAAAAAAAAATCTAGTAAAACAGTGCAAGATAAACGCACAAACTGCACCAGACCCTGAGGGGTAAATACGACGGTCCAAAAGGAAGGTGTTCATCCCCTGAGGCCAGGGCAGAACTTTGAAAGGATTCGCTAGAAACGCAAGAACTGCCAAGTCGCAAGCTTAATACGCTTCTTTTTGTGCAGCTAGAAGACGGCTCTTGACCTTCCTAAAGAATCCTGAAACGCACCAGGTCCCAGTGACACAATAGGAATAATTTATCTAGGATACAAACTCGACCAACTCTCTAAAGGCTTTTACAGTTTTATTAATCCATATTGATAGGACGTATATCACTGGCCTTTCTCTCGGGGATGCTTCACGTTCCAGTTTCCGGAGGAAAAGCGTCCAGGATCGCCGAGGTGACGGGGCCGATCGTAACTCTTCATTCTTCGGCGTTGCGACAGACCGGGCAAAAAGACTCGAAGTTAACAGTAAGGACGATATCACGTCTCAGTATGAAAACCTGATACGTTGGACCAGACTTTATCCGATTTTCATTTATCACACTATCGGCACTGGTACCAACAAGAAAACTCCATTTGCTACAATGAAATCGATCAGCTGATCGATTGACCTTTGAGCTTGATGAATGGTAATCAACGCAGTCGTTGGTGTCCATAAATAATTGAATTTCCAGTTAATCAAATCAACATCGCTCGTAGAACTCTAGCTACACCATAATGGATTCCTCCTGCGGTGCATTAATGTTAATGCACCTTTTAATGCACGCGTACGCGCACTAAACCAAATACTAAAAGTGCAGCATTAGATGCCGCAGCGGGTTGGTACAGTAGCAAAAAGCAGGACAACTCTCGTATGCAGAGTGACGCGTAACACTGCACGACAGGTTTAATTAAATTTCTTTTTCCAGCGAGTCCCGTCCAATTAATTAAACACGAGCTATTCGGATCCTTGAAAATGCACTGACATGCGTCACGTGACACTTGCGCATACGTCACGACTATTGCGAATGCATAAAAGTGCACGTGTTACGTTTGTTGCGCAATCGAATAAGACAGAAGATTCCGGACGAATTTTTCCCTCTGCCACTCCTGCTCGTGAATAAAGGCGAATTTTAATGATTCCGTAATTTAATTAATTTTTTTCAACTGCTCCAATTAAATCCACGATATGTTAATTACACTGTCAAAGCACGACGAGCACCCGTCACGAAGCCCGATCCCTCACCCAACATACTGAAGAGGCTCTATCGGACTTCGTCTACGGATAACCGTACGTACGACGGTACAGAGTTTCCCTGCACGCGTCCCTTTCGAACTTCCGGTTCATCGAGCCGGAAGTTCATCGTTGGGAGGCCGAGATGATTCACGGTAAGCTTTCGCAGCCTCCTCGTCAGCGACGGAGGTGGTCAACGGTAAACGCGGACATCGGATATCCTTGGTTTTATAATAATGCAGCTTTTTTTTTGAATTTTATAAAAAAATTCCAGAAAAATACGTATTATTATTTTACAGAGGTGCCTGCTCGACTGACTGTAGTAATTATTGTCAGAAGCTGCCACCCCTACCGAGTTACAAATAACTTGAGACAAAGGGTTTCCTGTTTCTTAATAAGAGAATTCTGGGTTGAAAGAGGTGCCGGTGAGACAAGGGTCGGCACGAGGACGATCATTCATTTCCGAAGATAATGGCGCAACTTTCCCGTCAATTTATAGCCGAATTTTATGTCCCACTTGACGTCCGTTATAGCCCGCGAAAGAATTGAACATTCCGCACGCATGCGCAAATCCTTTATTGTGTCGTATTAGAATTTTATTACAATACCCCACGTACCGATCATTAATGGTAAATGCGACATTGACTCTATCTATATACGATGAAAACAGTAATTAGTAAAACGACGTTCGTGCAATTACTCGAAATTGCGAGGAAGTTACGTAGCAAACAACCTCCTCCCACAGGAATTCCATCGTATCTCGCGTGACCTATAACCACCATATACATATTCATACCCACATACGCGCGAAAGCACGTTACCGTGCGCCTAGGCCGATTTCAATGTATCCTGAAGCAACTGTACTGGATTATTCGTAATTAGAGACGGATTAATTCTATACAAATTTTCATAATTCCATATACCTTTACGACATGTGCTACACGTATATTCATATGCCAATACCTATATACAGCACGGTGCTCCCAGATTGAATCGGCCGTTGTCCCAGATCCTGTGGGGCAAATTAACTAAACCCAGGGACACTGCCACAGTGAAACAGAATTTCCACACGGCCAAAGAGCGGGCATTGGAAATTCGAAAAAGGCCAGCGAATGTAAACAAAACTCGTATTCGTATTAGTGCAAGAGTAAAAGAAGATCGAGCATACAAGTGCGGTAGGTCAATTATAATAAAATAGCTACTTCGCAGGACTTCAAAACAGAAGACGAGCACGTACGCGCGTCTGTATAGAAATTAAAATACAGTAAGGGGGCCAACCGTGTAAATTGTTCACGGGACGCATTAAGTTTACCGCGTACGTGCGCGCACTGTACGACCATTAGTAATTCATGTAAAGACGCAATCGGCATTCAGCTCACAAACCAAGTCCATTAAAATTGCAGCGTGTGCAAACGAAACGACTAGGTGAAGCACCCTGGCCATCGGATTCGCCTACCCACGTACTTAACCCTTGCGATATACATAGGCGTACGTATGAAGATACACATACATACTCCACGCTAAAGTTCACAATAGATACGGACTTCTAAGAATGACAAGAATTATTGCCAGTATATATACCGTGCTAGGATCCTTTTCATAAAGATGGAGTTCCCATTATGGAATTGATCCCCTTTGCGAGTAATTCCGCGTAAACGTAAAAGTACCAAAGTACAGAAACCCAAGAGATGTATATATATATATATATTTTTACCAAGATCAAAATATATTTCCCTCCTTCACGTATTGCGAGCGACGGGCAAGTAAAACCTCGTATTAATAACAATCCTTATCTCCCGTATAGCCCACATAGAATCCAAGGAGAACAAATACGGACGTTTCGATCATGAGATGCAATCGTGACAAAGGGAAATCGGGAATCGCAGCCTGACGTTAAATGAGCGAGCACCGCTCATCCGTGAAGCAGACGGAGGATTTTAATGGTAACGAATTAGCATGGAGCTTTTTGCCGGACTCCGTCAGCCAGATAGGAAATTTACCGGTATATTCATGTCGTGTTTTTCCACGGGTTCAGCATTGAATGAATACCCGTGGCAATGGAGCATTTTGCATATTACGTGTAGCGAGGGGAAGGGAGCGAGAGAAAGTGAGAGAGAGAGAGAGAGAGAGAGAGAGAGAGAAAAAATATACCAGTAACAAAATAGGATGGAACACGAGAGAAATCGGGTAAATATTTAAAACGAAAAAAAAAAGGGCTATACTCTACCCATCCCAGAAGCAGTCAATTTCTTTTTATACCAAATACCCATTGTCTCGTTCTCTCTCGCTCGCTCGTAATCCCCCGCGGATTGTCCGTCAAAAAAGCTAAGAGCCGTTCACAAAAACATTGAGTGTCCCGAGCGACACTTGGCGCCCATCCAGAAAACCCACCCAGAATCCTCATTGAAAATCCACTTATCCTAGCAAAAGGTGGATCCTGTACTTTTCCCACAATTTTTTCTTTCCGTCTCTCTCCCTCTCGCGCGTTACAAAATTCTTTACACGATCGACCGTACCCACGCAATGCGCCAGAAGAATTCACTTGGACGGAAAGGAAACGAATAAAAAGTGAACGACAATCAAACGCAAGGCTTCGTTCTGATCTTGAACGTTATGGATATGGACACGTATACGCGTATTATCTAGAACTGTTCACATATGCAAACATGATTATTCCCCTACGCGAGTATTATACACTGTATCATGCATGCGTGTGGCCGTCAACGGATATTGCACATCAAAGGAAAACCACATAACGTCACCCGTACCGACCGCAACGTCGTCGCTGAGCTCCCTTATACATAGGAATGGAGATAGACGAATTACGTTACGTTAGAATCATTTAGGCATCTACATGGGCAGATATATATATATATATATGTTCATGCACATATGACGACAAGTACGGTCGGACAGATAAAGATATAGTCACGTGGGTATATAGATACTTGCAGCCATACCAGACTTATTGTCAGTACAGTAAAAAGACGGTGCGCAGTAGACATTGGATTTATGTATCATTTAATTGATTAAATGAGGTATCACGACTTCCTATAATAACAACGACGTCCTTAATGATATCATTAGAGTAACGTAGTCATTTAGAATGGTTATATTGTTCCTCCTGGTCTCGTGAATAAACGATTAGAGATTTGCGATTGGAAAAATTTTTGATATCGAGGAGGACGACAGGTAATCCGCGAGACATCTGATTGATATCCAATCAAATCAGCGTCGGGTTTAATACATAATATATGTGATTTATCTCGTCGCGCCTCATTAAAAAAGTTTAATGATATCCGCGACACGTGGAGTAATGCATTTATCGTTAGCTGCGATACTGTTGGTAACATTTCCTGTACTGATGTGTTGTGTGGTATCTAAGGATATTATTATTCTTATTATTTACCGACTATCAGAAATTGCTAATCGCACTGGTTTCGCGTTGGCTTCGAGTTTTCGATGAATGAAATGAATCATCCCGAATCTTGTAAGATGCAAAGCCGATTCTAAGAATGCCGCCTGAGACGGACGTATTTAGATCTTGTGTTCGTGTGAATTCATAAAATTGATTCATACGCTGTACAAAAGGAGGAAATTGTATGGACGGGTTAAACGAACCGACGGGAATTTTCTAAATCCGAAAAAGAAAGCCCTGTAGAGACTGGGCCCCTCCGGTGGCCCGAAGTAATCAACATTTATATCTGAATACATCAGACCGGAAGTGCCGCAGTTGCTTTGAGCTGTCAAAAGCAAAAACAAAAGAAAACTC